ATATACATTAATAAATTTCGAAGTATGGTTCGCTGGTTGCTAGCCTCCTTTGCAGCCACTGTGAGGCGCTTCCAGTTCCCGTCCTTCCCCCACTAGCGTCTGCTCAAACTTGAACAACATTCCTTTCTTCATTGTTTTCTATTAGCCAATCAAATTGCTAGGTGATATGCAAATTTTCTATTTTCCCGTGCAAAATGGCATAAGAAAGTTTGCAGTTTATGTTTGAACATGTATCACGTAAATGCGAAAAATACGACCAAAACAGTTCCGAATTTTAACGATATATGTTTTATATGTAAGAAAGAGGAATCTAAGAAAAGCCGTACAAGAATATTTGGAGGAATGACGGGAACTGGAAGCGCCTCACAGCGGCTGCAAAGGAGGCTACTGGTTGCAGGTTGATCCGCGGGTTTTTCGCATGCCCAGTCAATAAGCAGCAGCAGCCATGGCTCCCGATCTCGTACCCAGAGCCTTTATTTTTTACTGCGTATGACATTTCGTCGAGCATGCGCAGTAAAAAATAAAGGCTCTGGGTGCGAGATTGCTATGGCTCCATGGAAGCCAATCTCGTACTCAGGCCAGCGTTTCTTTCGGCCTGCGGCAAAAAACGAGGGCTCTGGCATAATCCATTTTTTGCGCTTGCGCAATTTTCCGGAAGTGAAACATCATCAATGAAAATCATGCTTTCAAACCTGCTTTCAAACAGAGTTCTGCGTTTACTTCCGATCAAAATAGGAATTAGAAATCGGGAGCATTTTTTTWAATTTTTGGCAAGTCTTTTAACGCATGCGCTCTTATACCGGAAGTCCAAGAAATCCTAGTCTCAAAAAATGGATTATGCCAGAGTCCTCGTTCTTCGCCGCAGGCCAGAAGAAACGCAGGCTCTGAGCACGAGATTGGCACAATCCATTTTTTTGGCGCATGCGCAATTTTTCTAAAGTCAAATATAATCAATGAATATCATACTTTAAAACAGAGTTCTGGTTTTACTCCGATCAAAATGAAAATTAGAAATCGGGAACATATGTTTTCATTTTTACAAGTCCGAGCCAGAGCCCTCGTTCTTCGCCGCAGTCTCGAGCTCTGGGTACGAGATTGCATGGAAGCGATTCCCCGGTTCACATTTCGCATTGAACTGATTTAGGCTTTTCTAGATATGGAATAGGGTTAGGGAAATTCAAGAACTAGTTTTAAAGATTAAACGCCAATTACAGCACTTTTTTATATTCTCGTGTTTTAGTTACTATCCTTCAAAATTTCAACCGTTGGAGAAAGTTTATTTTGATATCGATAACAAAACCCAGACGTCAAGTCATTTAATGCACTTAAAGGGGGACTAGCACGTAAATCTTCCGAATTTTAATTCAGCTGAAACTTTTACTGGAATAATCCTTAAAGGTCTAATAATTACTGGTTAAAGTTTTTTCTGATATTCGGATGGGAAGTATTATATTTTTGCGAATTTTTGTAGAAGTTTGGTGACGTCATACACTCAGCACTAAACATTGCTCCATACATTTCTTTGTATTTGGTAATCAAAATATCCGCTAGTTTTATACTCAGTATTGAAGAAAAGATCGATACCATAAGATGATTTTAACCACAAGTTTATGTACTTTAAGTCCCTCGACAGTGGACCTTGGGGCTTATAAGAAATAAAGTAAAACATGAAGTTATTTATTACAAAGAAATGTATGAAGCGATGCTTAGTGTTGAGTGTATGACATCACAGACACCTATAAAAATTTGTAAAAATATAATACTTTCCATTGGAATATAAAGAAAAAACTTTAACTAGTGATTATTAGACCCTTAAAGATTATTACATTTAAGTTTCAGCCGAATTAAATTTCAGAAGATTTACTTGCTAGTCCCCCTTTAAATCAGCTAATTGCCCTATTTCACTATGACGTCACATCAAAACAATCTATTGTTTAAACGCAAAGGATCATGGTCGTCGGAGAGGGTGTCAATTCAACACAAATTCACCGAAAATTGTTCTAAAACCCGTATCAATCTACGAAGAGAAGTGGAATAGCCAGCAAACGCTCAAAATGTTTTTAAATACATATTATATCTGAAAACCAGGCCATTTTAGATTAAACTATTTCGCTAGGAGCAAATTTTGTTGAATTTTCTATTGGATTTGGCGATTCTATCCCCCACATAAACAAGCAGTGACGTCATAGTGAAATAGGGCAATTACCTTGGTAAACTCTGTTGTTATTCTAATTAGGATTTTAAAAAYTGTATTTATACGCTTTTCAGGCGTGTATTTTTTTTTGCAAGGTGCTATTTCCAACATGCCTATGATATTTTAAATATTATATATACGGTAAGATCGATAGTTTTATATCTAACTTTATATTTAATTTATTTATTAGCTAGCTTTTATTACCAGTTTTTAAAGTATTTTTAGCAGTAATTTTTAAATTATGATTCATTGATTGTAAAGAGCTTAGCGCAGAGATGAAATAAGCGCTTAACGGAATGCTGTTTTTTTTATAACTATAATAATAATAATAGTAACAATAATAATATATTATTTTTATTATTATTATTATTATAATTATTATTAATATTATCATCATTATTATTATCATTATCATTATCATTATCATTATCATTATCATTATTATCATTATTATTATTCTTATCATGATGATGATGATGATGATGATGATGAAATGTTGTTGTTGTTGTTGGCTGGAAACCGCGATGACAAGCGCGCAAGTAAGCGTTTACTTACATGCTATACTGTGTGCAATAAAGATACCAAGAGTCCCACAGATGGTTAGATTAGTCTTGGAGAACTCATTGTAGCAGAGCATACCAATTCCAATACAGATGAAAGGAATACTGAGCAGAGCAAACCCGAGAGTCGCCCACATAGCATTATCATTAGCCACGCCCTCAAACTCGTCTTTAACTGAAAATACAAAGTAGATTAGATTTTAGATTATACATGGTTAGTTGGGTTCGATCATTTTGAGGTTGTTTCAGTGTATCGATAATTGAGCGTGCAGCTCCTTATGTTGTAAATAACTGTAAATCAGAGTTAGCAATACTCCATGCAAAAGAGAGTGCACTGAACTTGAACTTGCACTTGAACTCTCCTGGTCCTATTCTTCGTTTTCACATGACGTCATAGCCGCCATCTTGGTCGTTAACAAAAGACTTTTTAATGAATTGCCCTATTTCACTATGACGTCACTGCTTGTTTATGTGGGGGATAGAATCACCAAATCCAATAGAAAATTCAACAAAATTTGCCCCTAGCGAAACAGGTTAATCTAAAATGGCTTGGTTTTCAGATATAACATGTGTTAATATGTACTAAAAATATTCTGAGCATTTGCTGGCTATTCTACTTCTGTTCGGGAATTGATACGGGTTTTAGAACAATTTTCGGTGAATTTGCGCTGATTTGACCCCCTCCGACGATCACGATCCTTTGCGTTTAAACAATAGATTGTTTTGATGTGACGTCATAGTGAAATAGGGCAATTCTAGTTTTGTCATATCAACCAACATGGCCGCCGTGTCTTTTGTTATATGTTTCACTCCATTGGGGATGATTGAAAACTAGCAATATAAGAATGAAACCTTTTTAGTGTTTGGAAATATCTTTAATAGGCCATTTCACGGATCCCGTTACTCAACCTCAGCCTCGTCAGCGTGTAATATATTCTTTAGAAATTGCCTACAACCTGTGAAATTTTTAAGTGTTTCAATTGTTCGTTGATGTGTAAATTCCTTTCATTACTGCGGACTGTAGGCAAATATCTAAAGAATAATTACACGCTGACGAGGCTGAGGTTGAGTAACGGGATCCGTGAAATGGTCTATTGCTTACTATCAATCACGTGACTTTTTGGAGTTGACTGGGGGGCAAACAAGCGGTTGACTGAGGGGCAACTAGCGGATGTTATAAAGTCAAAACATGTCAAAATAAGTCCTCAAACTATTGTATTTGACTATTTTCACGACATCAAACCAGAAAACAAGAGATCAAAACAACCTCCAAGATTCTACAAGCCAGTATAATTCCAGGGAAAACCAAAATAGTTGCTTGTGGCTATATACTAGAGTGCTCACACTAAATCCGTGAAACAAATACTAATTTTTAGCACTAAATAGTGATAATTAAACAATAGAAAACAAAGGCTTCTTTATGAAATAGTACTAATTAGTACTATTTAATGTTCACAGTCTTAGTGCGTGCACTCTAACTGACTGAGTAAACACAAAGCTGTAAAAGCATTCGAATTAGAATCTTAAATCATTAAAAATTCCCTTAGACACTCATGATGTCGAGTGAAAGAAGCTGGCTATCTCACATGGGTGTCTAACTAAACCTGCAGAGTAGGCTTAAAATAGGAATATTCAAGTCATACTGAAAGATCTGGACGTTTCTTATGCAGTCAGGCGAAAAGTTCCGACCTTTTGCACAACATGCGCTATTACATACTATGGGATTGGTCATTGATACTTAGCATTCTAAACTTCACTTACAATGAATACTTAGTTTTATGAATAACATAATTGTTGATTCATCCGTTCTAAAAACGAATCAATTAATACAATATATGCATTCAGAATTAAATATTCATAAGTGTAAACAATTCATCAGAATAAAAATAAGAATATTAAAGAATACCATCTGAGTCATTCTAGTTGCTTTTACTAGCTTGGATTTAACATAAAACTAGAAAAGCGATCAAATTTGAAATAGTTTTTTCGAGGCATTTGTCTTCGAGAATACTGAGGTTTGCATACTAAAAGAAACGATCCAGCTGTTTTTGTGAAGTTTCATAGAAAATGTCGGCTAACAAACCGCAAATATCAAAACATATGCTAACAATATAACATATTACTTTATCCATACTAAAATCACAAGAAAATCGAGGAAAGAAATATGTATTCTTGTGATATTTGATCGAAGAAAAGTGACTTTGATGTTACGATAAAAAGTTATGTGAAAATTGTTACGGAATATAGGAATTGTGTCTGTAGAAAATTGGCGTTTAGATGGATATAAATCTCGRACATCTTCTTTTTAACACTTGAATTTTCAATAGCTAAGGTATCTAACATTTAGGATCGTAGTTTACCAACAAATCGAGAGCTGGATTCATTTTTTTCGTAGCAGTAAATCCCGGGAGTAGCGGTAGTATAAAATCATAGTAATGTTCAGTAGTTTGTCAGTCCATACCCTTAAAATCTCTGCCTCGCTGGCCCAGACCAAAGTTGACAGTGACATGTCCATCAAATAAACCAAAGTCCTTAGTTCCGCCCGGAGCTGTTGTATTTTCCCCCTTCCTCAGAAGAGCTGCATAGACCCAATGCTCAGTAACCAGCGCCATTATTATCATTACCAAAGCACCGATCGAAAACACGGCTGCGATGATTCCACAGCCTTTTCTCTTAAAAATATTTGCCATTTTGACAATCCTTTTGGCAAGACTGACTCGATATAAAACTACTACGAACTTTTAAAACATTTCTAATCAGTTTTTTGAGCCACAATTTGGTATTGAGTTCACTCTACGATCGATAGTCAATCACTCGAAGAGACATAAATATTCAAATCAATCAGCTGTGTTTTTAACCAATCAGAAACATTATGGCCTTTTTTCATTCAAACGAATCAAGTGACGCGAGGCAATTCGAGAAGTGTAAATTATGTCTTAGTTTGGCTCTAAAGTCATACAAAAAATCTCAAGGAAGATTTTTAAGATTCAATGACAAGCATGTCRTCCGCAGTGTATTTCAAAAGCGTGTAATCGCGGTTGAAACTTTTGGACAGTTTTGTAACTTAGCAACTGAAGCCTCACAACTCGCCTCAACCCAAATTATAATTTCCAAAACATGATCGAAAAATAAGAATTTCCACAAAAAACATTTTGATAATGCATGCTGTCTGAATCGGCACAGGTTATTTATTATACTTCGGATTCATTATTCATGGAGAAGAAGTAAAAAACTATAAAAGGCATGACGCTCACACAAACATTTTTTCCTCTCTCTCTCTCTTTCTTCTTTGCCCTTTCAATTTACTTGCTTTGTTGGTTTTCTTCCAGATTTTTTTTTGAGAAACAAGTTTGTTAAGACTTTTATCTTTTCTTTATTTCCACTTTCGTGCTGATATCGATTCGTAGTGCGCAGTGGGACTGCCTGAACCCCACAGATAACGGTATAAATTAAACTTATCACACCCTCTCAAACACTGCTTTTTACGCGGTTAAGTTAGGTGGACCAACAGGATTGTTTTCAAAGCTGCCGTGCTTCCTAGAGATTAATTGTCAACGTTAATTCAAATTTTGTGCGGCACTGGCCCGGAAAGTCGCTGAATAAGGATTGATTCCTTTCTACTGGTTTAGAAAAAAGGATCGATAATGACGCTTTAGTTTCGAGTTCTCTGTTCCTCAGGGTTAGGTAATTATTTGTTTTCCAGTGAAGATCTGTGGAATTTCAAAGTGTTTGTATCGATGAAGTTGTGCATTCTTTACTTTATCGTTGGTATTTCTGAATATTTAGACACTGATTCGAGGCTAAGCCTGAGTAAATGAGCGTAATCAAGAAACACAGCGGTAATTTGGAACTCGAAAAGGGTCTATTCTGTGGCCCTACCGGCTCGACTCTGTGATTACTAATACTCTTCCGAATCAGCGAAAACAACCAAGTTTACGGAAACTATTTCTCAACGGGTCCAGTAATAAATGCCGGGGAAACAGGAGCGGATCTTATATCCATCAAAATTAGACCACAAACAAGAATATTTAATCTTTATTCAGTTATCAAAATAATTTCGGCATATAATGACTACGTATTTATAAATCCAATGGTTAAATATTCAGTTTCTTGACAGCCATCTTGGAGTGCTACGATAAACCGCGCGATCAACTTGCTCCTAACAAAAACCTGTAAAGAAAATAAACTTCATTATTATTTTACGATAGACAACTGGCTGACAAAAATACGGCAAGGATACGAGCATGTTAGCTTTCTTTGATAATAGTCGTTTCAGTGGAGGTTCAATGGGGAGGTTCGCTGGATGAAATGAAAACAGAAAAATGCGGAGGGAATGTGAAATATATAGTATGTACAGTATTCTGGGACTACACTAGTTACTTGTACAAGGAAAAAAACCGGTTTCCCAAATTGTGAATTTGTTAAGACCTTCCTTGAATTCCCAATTCCAACACCAACGTTGGGATTTATTGTTGGGAACTTCCTTCTATACCCAATAGAAAAACAAAACTCCCAACAAACTAACATTGGGAATCAGTGTCACGTCCCCAATTTCGTTCTCTCTGGGAATTGGATGAGAATTCGTTGGGAATTCAAGGAAATTCCCAACAAATTCCCAATTTGGGAATCCGTTTTTTTTTTTCTTGTACAAGTACCTAGTGCAATCCCAGAATACTGTACATACTGTGTGCTTTCACACGTTAGTTCTGGGATTAACCCTTCCACTCAAAATACAACGTAGTTGCCTTCCTGCAGGACCGTATATATCCAGGGAAAACCAACATTTTGAGGGATGTAATGGGGTCCAAAAGCAAAGGTCCAACTGGACCATCGCATAGGAGAGTTCAAGCAAGTCCGTGTTTTTTTTTCTTGAAAAGGCTATAGGGTCGTGTGAACATGCTAAGGGTGTTTTGAACCCTTACAGCTCCTGTCTACTAACCATTCGTTCCTACAGGTGACGGCAGCTGCCCTGACAAACCTCTTGTGATCATCCAACGATGAAGAAAGACTCTTGATTACTTTTGATTTGTACACGTATACCTTAGCGAAAATAACAAAACACAGTAACCAACACGAAAAATAAGAATCATTATAAGGATTTCTTCTTTGTTTTCTGTTTACTTTAACAGAGGAATATTGCTAGGGAAATCCATCTAGATTCATATTTTGGTTCCATCAGATTGTTAGCTTGGCTAAATATAGATTGCGCGCTGTGCGATTCATTTTTGTAATTTCACCCTGTCTTTTTACCCTCTAGAGCTGGTGGCGCATTAAAAACTACGGYGCAAGCTCAGCCAATCATAGAGCGCAATACCACAACCAAAAAACCACGGTTGTCGTACAATATGCAGTAATATTTACTACACTGGATGAGATATGGAGAGTACTTACAACATGATGGGGTAGGGTCGTCATGGCACCAAGACATTTAATAGCTTCTATTCGAACCTTCTACTCAAACAAAAACACCATCATTATTTAAGCTTAAAAAGTTTTACGACGCCCAAGAGGTKGAAGGAGGGGAACAGAAGAGAAAGGGGTCTAATCCTGCATTCGTGCTGGCGGAATTGGGATGTTACGCTGTCACCTTTTTCTAAAAGACGTACGCGCAAATGTCATCGATAAAGACAAGGACGAGACGTTCACAAAGAAGAARAAAAACAGTGCGCGTTCAGTCTTTAGTCCTGAGCTTTAGCTATAAGGAACGTTAAAAAAAAAACACAAGGAAGCTCCCCACCCCTCCCCCCTTCATTCACTATTCCCATTTCTTTGCCTCCGCAAAGGACCAGCGCTGAATAGCAGTTTCTTCCCGCACTTACTCCCGGTGTATAGTTGTGCGCAAATGTCCCTACTCACCATCGAAGATTCAAACTTGACCAGTCTCAAGAAATTGGGTACTAATGACGTCACTTGTCTTATAATCGCCTCAGAAGCGTCGAAGATGAGTGAATAAAGGGTTTGTAAGGTAGACAGGAGAAGACTTGCTTGGTCTTGGGATAGGGACTGGATCAGAAGCGGCATCAACTAGAATACCAACAAATTCCAATAGAGTGGTTTTCATAAACCCGTGAAATACACTTAAGCTTATTTAGTGTTATTACTAATTTCTTTTCTTTTCTTTTCTTTTCTTTTTTGCGGGGGGGGGGGGGGGGGGGGGTTTCATGCAATACTGATCAGGCCAAAACGGTCAAAACGTTTTGAAACTTGTAAGAAACTTTATGCCGATATTACCACGGCAGTTTTCGAACGCGTATGGACGGTGCGCACTAGTATTAGATTAAGGACTACATACATTAGGTACTTCTGACATGAGGACTTGTTTAGGGATCCACTGAAGTAGATGTGACAATGCACTGAGGTAGTGGTGTTTGTGTCCTAAAAAATAAACACGAACAGAATCAAAAATGACGGCTTGCTTCGCCAATCTACATAGGCGAGCCACATGCAGTTAAAACATCGTCTCCGCCGAAGAATATAATCAAAAACCATGAGGAGCCCTTTACTAACCCGGTAGAGAAGACTGGAAGCCATTGAGTAGCTGAGGAAGAGTTTGTAGGAAGAACCGTTGCTTGTACATCAACTATGAAGGATGAAATGTGAATGAAAAAATAATATACACAAATGCGCTTCAATCTCAATTCTTGATCTGCAAGTTTTTAAAATGAATTGAATTAGCAAAATATATCGAGCCAATCGTAGGACACGAGGGTGAAGTACAGTAAGTGAAATGCGGGCAGCCGTCAGGGTCACGGTCAAGGTAAGGCACATGCATGCTGCTACTGATGAGTGTTTCACATTCAAACTGTATCCACCTTATCGACGTTGATGACACTTACTTTAATATCAGCATGCATCTGTGACGTCATCACATCATCACTGTCTGCTATCAGTATATAGAAACCATCCGCTGCCACCTTACCCACGCTGTCGTTACTAAATATACTTATTATCTGTCAAACAAAATAGAATAATTATAACGTTTTTAATAATTCTCTTTAATATCGCTTATTCACTGTGATGATCAACATTCTAACATTTTTACACCACAGTCATCTCCTTTAAATTCACACTCTTTAATATTGTAGCGGTAGTGAACTCGCCCCTCACCTCTGGAGTCACGAGTTCAATTCCGTGACTCGGCATCACATGTGAGTAGAGTTTCCCTTCGCAAAATTTAACAAGCTAAGGTTCAATTCGATTTGTCAGCCGTGCCCTGACTTTGATAAGCACAAAGGTTGTTTTAGGGTATCGTTAAAGTGAGCGCTCATCGAGAAATCTCACTGATTGTATCATCGAGAAAATAGCCTTACCTTCTTAACAAACTCTTGAGATACTGGAAGTGAGCGCAAAACAAGAGCTCTGGTTACCTGGAATACAGAAGGAAAAAAGGAATGCATAAAGAACAGATCTTTGGCACGGGACACAAACAAACCAACTCTCAATCTTAAATCATCCCCAAATGCCACTTGGATTAAATTAGTTTCAAATAAACGTACCCAGATCCAGGTGATGAGGGAACTCCAATGGTTTTCCTGACATTCTTCATTAGAAATACAAGACCATATTGTCGACATCAAGTTTTGCATTAATAAATCCAACTCTTCTCCTAGAAGTAGAAGATACAATATTAAATCTTGCAAATAGATGAAAGGCAGGCATGTATCACTGGTACTCTTCTTTCTCACTCTCTTTCCTTTTCTTTTTCTTTTYTTTTTTTTTTTTTGATTTTCTAACCCTCTGATAGAGCTACAGTGCTCATTTTTCGATCCCTCGTTCCATCTCACTCATGCCCAGTTTTGTTCTCTATTGCACCCAACTCACACCAATCCTTCCAATCCACTCAAACCTTCTCCCATACATCCTACTCCAAGCTCAAGTGCTAGGGGAGGGGAGGGTGAGGAGGAGAAAGCACAATACTTAGGTCTACCAACACACACCTTCCTTCATCTTGTTGATGAGCCCTGCTAGGCATTTCGCTGCAGCAATATTAGTTCTCTTGTGATTTGACCTACAGGCTAAAGTTTGTAACTTTTGCATCAATATTGAGAACTGTGAAATACACACCTACAGGTAGAAAAGGAGAAGTTAGTTATAAAAGTTTGTATTGCTGTTAAAAGTATTCTCAAATACAAACACTGACAATGATTAGAAAGCATATTGGATTAGATTTTCAAGTTGAATGAAGCAGTTTTCATATCAATAAGTGTAGATAAGAAGAAAAATAAGCCAACAAGCTTACATCTCTTTTGACGGCACACAGACAAGGCATCAACAGAGAAACCAGCTGAGTTTGTTGCCATGGAGATTCAACCTATAGAGAGATAAAAAGCAGTGGATGAGGCTCAGATTTTTTCAATTTTCCATTTTAAAGAGAGTTTTGCAAGGCAACTGATTAACAGCGGTTCAAAGGTTCAAAAACAAAAACAAAAAAACAAAAAGCAGACATTGAATGAAGAATCAGAACCGGATTTAGGGAAGGAGGGTTGAAGGCTGTCAACCAAAAGCTTGTATGAGAGATGTCACCAACAGCAACATTAATATGGGCAAATTTTATGCTGGTTTTTATAGCCACCATTTCATTGGATAAATTATTTGTCTCTTTTGCATATCAACCTGTCTGTAGCCATGTCCTTTATGATTTTCTTTTTTTTACTATTAGTATTTAGTAACTTATTAATATAAAATGGATACAATCCACTTACCTCCAAGGGTAAGAAGGAGTCGACTTTGTAATTATTTAGAGAGTTTGGTAGTTTACCATCCAAGAACAGTTCTACAATTGACTGCAGGCACTTCTCTGTTGATCTAAGAAGCAAAAGAAATGATTTGCCTCTTAAATATATTATACAATAGAAAGGAAAATCATACCAGAGGGAGGTAGTTAGAAGGAAGGAGATGGGATTGAGACATAATAGGAAAGAGACCCCTTTCCCAGTTCTACAATAGACTGCAGGCACTTCTCTGTTGATCGAAGAAGCAATACAAATACCTCTTAATCATTTACGATAGAAAGGAAAATCATACCAGTGGGAGGTAGTTGGAAGGAAGGAAGGGATGGAGACTTAATAGGAAAGAGACTCCTTTCCCTACTTCTTGCAAGGGTGGATCCAGGGGAGTTGGATTGGGTGGCTAGTCACCCTCCTTTGGAGTCAAAATCAATAAGAATAAAGGATAAAGCAAACCTAAAAAAGGAAGCTTTGAGATTCCTTTCTAGGTTATAGTCACCCCCATGAAATAAGTCTGGACCCAACACTGTACAAAAACTTGTTCCATTGGTACCGACTCTATAGAATAGATCCATAGAGTAGGAAATATATTCATGCATTGCTATTGCAATTGATTTTTCTTCTTGCCACTTACTCTGACTGCATTTGACATACTATGGTTCTAAAAATTGAGCTAAAAATCTCCAAGATGTCCGACTCCAACATCAAATTGGTTTCACGACCTGAAGAAATGCAAAACAAAATCAATGATAAAATTAAATATCACACAAAAGTGAAAAGTAAAAACTAGATGATCAAAGGGAATTTTAAAATAAAGTAAAATTAATACCTTGTAAGACAGGCTTTATCGACAAGTGTAACAGATCCGGTATAACGAGTTCAGAATAGTACTCTGGTTGAACAACATTATGTTTTATGGTACCTTTAAAGAATATTATAATAGCAATAAAAGTTATGATGATGATGATGATAATAATAATAATAATGATAATAATAATTTAGTAAGAAAACTTTACATAACGTGACATCTTAAAAAATTCTAATAAAACGTAACAAAGAAAAATATTATAAAAATATATCTATGTGATAATATATTTGCATGGAAATTACAATAATAATTTAAAAGTAAAACAAATTTTAATGTCTATATATATAATATCCTGAGGAAAAAACTAGAAAGCTAAAAAAACTATTGTAAGAAAACTAGTTGTAAAAGACAATGCTTCGCTGCCATCTTGACAACATCATCAGGTCTATTGAAAACTGTAAACTCTAACAATAATAGAAAATGATTTATGCATGATGGCTTCGATTTGCTACCACCACAGATCTTACCTTGTACCACAGATAACAAACACTTGTATGTTCTTAAACCTTTGGATTTCATAGCATCACTCACATCATTAACTAGAAAAAGACAAATTTATCAAGTCATGATTTTTCAGATGTCAGTTAAGGGGTTCATTCAGGAAGGCATTCATTAATAGCATCAAAATATAGAGGCTTTGCACCATCACGTGATGGCAGCCATGACAGAAGGCACAACAAGAAAAAGTCGTTTCCCCCTGGGAAACCAAGTTCTTTTTCATGTAAATCGGATAAGACCAGATTCAAATGTCCCTGCCATGTATTGGTGGCAAGCCTCTGTTGAAGAAAGCATATACAGTGTACTTACTTTCTGCCAGGTTCTTCCCGTGTTGGAGGATAACAGGAATAATGTCTCGGACAACAGATTCTTCAGTACACACTGTTGACAGGGTCTCCATGGCATATCCATGACAACCAGATGAATATTCTGTGTTACCATCCTTTTCTTGTTCCATTGCTACACATTCTTCTGGGAAAATGAATGAAGTTCCATTTTGAGAGTTAGTCATGCCTGACTTCCATCAGCCCAGAGGTTGTTCAGGGTTTGATAAAATAGATGTTGTATTTTAGTTTGGTTGTATTCAATTTGTTTGCTTTAATTTCTAATGGATGGATGGATGCACGGATGGATGGGTTGTTGGATGTAGGGATAGATGAATGAATGAACAATGGATGTTTGGATGGATCAGAAGAATGCTATTGAAAAGAGGTCACAACCACACATCTGATAAAGGGAACACAAAAGTTTTCACAATGAATTGAAAAGATATTATTTGCTAAAACTGCTACCTGTCTTAAGATAGCTTTGTACAGCCGGAAGTAACTTGGCTTTAATGACAGCAGGAAATTTGGATGACAGATATGCCAGGGCAGTAGTACTTTCTTGCCTTAAATGAACAAAGCACAGAGTCAAATTACTGTGGGAGGAGGGGTGAATCAAGTCATATGCACTTGTATCAACTTCTTTGGGTCTTAAATTACTCACCTGACTATCATATCTTTAGAATTCAGAGCTTGTTTAGTTAAATGCTCAACTAAAATAATCACCTAAAAAGGAAATATTTTTTAAAAAATATTTCAATTACTTCTAAATCAATTCATTCTTCTTCTCAATTAATTTTAAATGCTATACAGAACTTCCTTCCACAGACTAAATTGATTAAGGTATCTGAAGTGAAAATCACCTGGTTGTCTGTTATCATTCCTTTCAGTGTAACCAAGACAACCAGACCAGTTATTCCAGCACAGCACAAAGCATGACTTTCACTAGTAAGTGCTTCAAAGAGCAGAGTCACCAGAGCATCCTTATGGGTAACAAGAGCACTATCTGGTAACCAAGAGAAATATATCAGTAAATAACTTGAGTAAGGTAGGTTTCGCAGGAAAGATTTCAATTAATCATATGACCCGTATCTGCCCAGGCGCGCGCTCCTAAAAAAAAACCTTCCGGAAAATGCTGAAAATGATAAAATGCTTATTGACTGAGTTACGTCGGGCCGTACGGGAAAATATTTGGCTCTCTGTCATTTGTATGGATCTCGCTGGGCTCGCTCCGTAGGGCATCACCTCGAGCCAAATATTTTCCCGAACGGCCCTTCCACTCAGAAAATAAGTACATAATACTTTACCCATGAGTTTTACCTTGAGTCATGTGATAAAAAGTCTTTGCAACCTTTAATAGTTCAAGAATCACATCTAGTGTTATTTTCTTTGCAATTCCCTAGATATTTCAAACACATAAAAAATAGGTTCAATGAAAAGGTATAAACAACTTGCAGTCCTTCTCTATTGGAATTGTACAATTTGCCATAATTGCTACAAAATAGGGTTTTGGTGGATGTTAAAATAGGGTCTCTGTTATGTTGTCAGAAAATACAAAGCTTTCAAGACTATGTGCCCATGGAGCTTTATAAAAACCTTGATTGACTTCCATCAAAACCTACTTTGTCATGACTGCAATTCCACACCCTTTATTGAAAATGACTGTAATATACAGAAGTGCATGATGGAGAAAATAAATTCTCGCAATGAACATACCATTGGCTGTGAGTTGTATTTGTCCACAAGCAAAGGAAGAGAGGATTGTAAGACTTGCTGATAAGCTGGTTCTGAAATGGTTTTGGAAAAAGAGGTTTTTTTCACATGACATCTAATACCTACTATACCCATTAACACCATATACCAACACTCCAATGGTGACCTACCAACATCACACGGACACCCTACCAACACCCTTCTGACACTCTTACCAAATCCTGGACTACCAACAACCTACGAGCCTCCTACTAACAGTCTGCCAACACCCTAAAGAGAACCTGCTGACACCCTGCTATTAACCTACAGTCACCTTAAGTACTGACACCCCTTGATACCCCCAACTATTGAGGTACAGACATGGACCGTCTTTGGATCAGGAAGCAGAGTAACAAGTAATTCAAACCTGCAGCTAATGCTGTTGACTGTAGGATTCTTCCATTTGGTTTCATCATCCTTAAATCCAAGGAACTCAGATATTCATTACATTCTGCAGTCAGAGAAAAATATAACCAGTTAATACTTGCAAGCATTGACATGTGGATCTCTACAATTTAATTGATCTCATACCTTGTAAAACTATTCCCATGAATTGTTCTCTGGTTTCTACATCATCTGCCTGAGAACAGCAAGAGAATAAACAAAAAAAGAGGATTATATAAGATAGGGTATATATATTGAAAGGGGCTTGTTTGTCAATCAATGGGTATATGCATTGCTTACTTGTGATGAGGAATATAAATTACAAACAATACTTTGTAATGCTTTTAAAGCTGCCTCCTAGAAAAATGAAATAATCATTGAAGAAAGTATTTAGAAAAAATAACTTAATCATACATCATTATGTATCATCATGCGTCATCACGTGTCATCGTCATCATGTATCATTATATATCATCATCATGATGTATCATCATGATGTATCATCATCATG